GGATTTATCATGTGCAAACAGATCATCCATGCAGTGGGTTTTGCCATATCCGTGGACGTCAGGGAAACAGCTCACACGCTCTGCAGTTGATTTGTGCGGCTGCCATTTGCCTGGGATTACTATATATCCAAAAACCCCAGGCTCATGGCCAAAGCCCTCACAAGAGGGACACATCTGGGGAAAATCTGACATATTTTAGGTCCATGCATGTGGGCTGTGGATCTGAGGCAGTCTCATGAAATACCAAAAGCTTGGATAGAGAACACATCTGATCTAAATTCTGTACTTAAAAAAAGGGAAAAAAAACCCCAACCACCACCTCCTCCTATTGCAAAGACAGGACTATGTCTGGAAAACATAAACCCGACAGAGAACTGTGGGAATAGAGCAAATATCTTGAAAAAGGGCTGATACTTTAGAGGAAGGAAACTGTGATACTACTAGAGCACTCTGCCAAAGGGCATGCCTGTTGGCCGCTAGACAGTCAGCAGACCTGCCAGGAGATGATGTCGGTGGAGCCCAAACTGAGGAACAAGTGTGCTACCATGCAGTGCACTTTGAACTCCTCTTTGTCTCTCCTGTCACCTTTTCCAAATCAAGCCCAGCCTAGTAAAGCACTGCTTAAACATGAATAATGACTTTATCAAAGGAGGTCACAGCTCCCCTGCCTTTTGAAGCATCACCTTTTTGGGAGCAGAACACCACTGGATGCTTCAGCAGAAGAAAACACCAGCTTACAAAGGAGGGGACTGAGCTTCCTCTTGATCTTGGTGATCTCCGCAGTCACTTTTTCTTCCTCTATGTTCAGCTGAAAAAGTCTGCCAAGACAGCTTTTATTTTAACTTTTACTGGTTCAAAAGATAATTTTAAAGTATGCCTTGATTCTCTCAGATCTGACTACAGGCCATTATGTGGGCAAGCTGAGACATTTCTAACATTTATTTCAGGACTATTTTCCTACAAAGGCATTCAAAAGGAATGTACCTTTTTCTTATCACTTGAAATTCTTATAACCTTAGTAATACGTTCAACAGTTCGATCTGCTTTCACAACCTTTCTTACATCTTGGTAGCTACTGCTGAAAATCCACCCCGTAGTTAAGGCCTTGTCTCCTGCTGCTAATTAGAGACTGGCATTTCACAAGGACAAAACATTCATTGCCCACTACTGAGTAATCCCTCAAATATTTATGTTCTGCTACCATTCCTAACAGACCCATCTCTAACTGCAGCTCTCCTTTCCCATGATCCCAATAAACTGTAGGGAATTACTGTACAAATGTACAAAGGCCACTTTATTAGATGAGCAAGAAGAAAGATTTAATCTCAGTATCGATTTAAAGACTTTAAAAGACCAGTACTATACATATACCTATAGAAAAAAGGTTTTACAATTAACTTGAGAAGCTTCCAAAATTACTGATTTACTTTTTAATGCCTAGAGAAGCTTGCATCTGATATAACAAAGGTGAAATAAAAAGTGTAACTATATTAGGGCAGGCTATGAGGTCACCTAGGCTAGTACCCTGTCTCCAACAATGTCAAGTGCAGACACTTTTTTTAAGAGCAACTGCAGAACACGCTTGACTGCTTATACTTCCGCAGCCACTGGCAGATGTTTTTGCACCAATTTAGTGTGTTTTACAAAGTCTTAATTAGGAGATTCTGGCTCGTAAGTTTTTGACTGAAAAATGTTACTTCATTAACATAGGAGCTGTCCAGAAAACTTGGAACGGTTTCACCTTTTGATCTCTTTCATGGTGAGACACTATTGCACCATCTGCTTGCCCTATGTCAGTTACCACAAAGTGAAAGAATTTGTCAACAAATTTGTCAAACAATCATAAAGACAGGTTTCTTAGGATGGGTCCAAATTTTAACCACCTACACTATATTAAAGAAGGTAAAGCATATTATAGAGGAAGAGTCAAAAATCCCTGTGGGAAGAGTATTATCCAAGAAGTGGCAAAGCATTTAACAAATAAGTAGACGTTCCCATAAGCTATTTACCTCATCAACAAGAACAAAATGTTAATTAACCTGCTGAATTAAGGAAAGAAAAAGAAGCCTTTTCAACTAAGGGAAGCACACAAATCACAAGTGCACTTTGAAATATTTGACAAAAGTTACTGACTGACAGAGGTAAACATATTAGGTCTCCACTCGTTTTCTAGCTGAGGAAGGATGCGTATTTTCACCTTGGTTACTCTGGCTCCAAGAAGTACTAATGGAATGACTGACAAAATTCAGGACACGGCAATTACAGAAAAGTTGAAGCTATTTAACACACCAACAGGATAGTCCCCTGCTATGTACCTCGCTTTCCTGAAATACAGGCACTACCAGGGACAAGCAAATTCAGATGGAACTCCTGTTGCACCCTCTGCCATTAACTGTTAGTAGTCATAATTAATGCTTTTCTACCTTCCTTGGCTATGATCATCAATTTAGGATTCAGGAGTCCTCTAGGAAGCCGCATTTCACAAGAAGCTCGAGGAGTCTGTGTACAAGTCCACATTCCTGTTTTTCCTTCGTGTGTAGACAACTGACTCCCTTTAGTATAATAAGAATGAATTCTTTTATTTGTGAATAAGAGCTATGGACACTTTGAAACAAGTCTTGAGCAGTTCCTCAAGCTACCACTGTCATTCCCTTACTTTTAATTTGAAACAGGCCCTTTTTAATTCCACAAATACAAACTTACTGTTTGGGCGGTAATCATGCATCATGTCAGTAACAGCTGGCTACCAAGGATTTTGCCAGTTGGCTGGCTTCCTGAAAAAAAATTTTACTACTTTTCTAAACATTTTATTGTAACTATATGAATTCAGAAATTTTTACTTTTGAGTAACACTGAAACCCTTTGCTTAAGAATACTTTTGTTTTGAATAAAGGCTGATTATATAAAATTAAACCTATTAATTTTAAACTAAATTTTTAAATTTAGTTAAATTTTTAATTTTCAAATTCAAATTTTTAAACTAAATTAAAAATAAAGCCATTTTGTCCAGAGCTTGTTTTTATGTTATTGAGAAATCTTAAGTTTCCCAGGATTCTACATTATGAAGACTTCACGTTTGCTGGAAAACCCCTAGTCATAAAAGTTTGCCCAGACAGACCTGTATGTTTACGAATTGCCGCATACGGGCAAAGAGAAGCTGTAACGAAGTGGCTTTCCTCTGTATCTGTAAAGAAATGAAAGGAAGCCAGCTGATCAGTCAGTAACAAGTTTAGCCTATCGATGCAGAAGTTCTGTATAAAACTCTGATTTAAATTCGCCAACCCAACTTAAGGGCGTCCAGTCCTTCAAATTATCTATTGTGTTAGAAGTTGAAAGACCAATCCTTGCTGACACCAGTCACTAGTATCCCTTTTTCACACAGCGGGTAAAGCTGCTTTCCTCTCTATGGACTCCTTTGCAGACACAGCAGCAGATGGTTTCCCAGTTCTTTGCTAGATAAACAAGCCCTGCTGCAAGTAAAAAGCCTCAGGTTCATTTCCAGGTTGTGGAGAACACTACCTGAGAAGCCTCCCTCTGGTCACCGCAGGGCTGAACACTTCCCACCTCATCCTCTACATTTTAGCAGGATTAGTATGGGACGAACAGCACGGAGAACAGCAGCAGATCCTCATTTTTTGTTCAGGTAGGAACGGAGAGAACTTTCCTATGCAGTGACAGTCACACAAATGGAAGCAGCAAAGTACAGTCACTAGAGCCAGAGTAAGTAATTCTGTCGCTGGTTTTTTAGTGTGGTCGCACCCACCTGTGCGAGGAAACAAGAGCAACCTCTTTTTCCACTTCAAAATTCAAATCTCTGCATTGAGTCAAAGAAGCCAAGTAGTTTCAAGTACATAGGACAGCTTATTTTTAAAAATTAAAAAAAATTTAAAGTTCAGTCAAACAGTTAATTTTGTGCAGTTGCAAGCAATTTAAGTACATCCTTAACATTTTAACATCAGTGGTTCTTCCAGGTAAGAGTCAGGATAGCACTGAAAAGCTCTAAAAAGGGCTCTTTTTCACAGTAAAAGATCAGCGTGGGGTTTTTCACAGAAAAAAAAAATAAAATGGAAGTTATATGATCTGAGCAAAGCTTCACAGAGTAATATTAACAAAGATTTTTCCCTCAAAAGAAATTCAGATGAAATGGAGCTCTATTCAGGAGCCTTTAAATTTTTTTATTTTTTCTTTTAAACTGGCCTAAAATATGCAAATGAAGAAAAAGTACGTGGATATTATAAATAACATAAATCAGATAAGCTTACACAGTAACACTACAAACACCCCGGTGGGGAAAGAATGCAGTACTAACAGCAACTATAAGCAAAAGGATTCTTGTCGGGTACAACTCACCCTATTGATAAGGCTCCTTTTCCGAAGAGAGACCGTTATTTCAACTACGCGCACGTGAGGCTCCTCATCGTCCTTACAGTTAAAAATAAATACTTTATGTTTGTGCACAGTGCTCTTCAAGAGAGGTCTCAACAACACTAACAATTTCTTACAAAACACTCCTGCGAGGTAGGTGTATCGTCATCCCCATTTTACAAATGGAAAAGGGATTTGCCCAGAGTCTCACAGCTGTTTGGTACTGGAGCCAGGAAACACATCTCCCAACTCTGTACCAAACCTTTTTCACTCAGCAATGCTCCTTTTTAGGTTATACTATTGCATTCAAAAAAGTTATTTTAAGACAACATATATGTTTAATATTACAATATAGCGCATCTTTGAGTCAGCACTCCTCTCCCCAACTCTTTTACCTGGAGATAATCAAAATAATAAGGATTAATGAAAAGAAGTTTTTAAAAATATGCGCTGCAGGAGCAGATATGCATGTGACTGGAAGTATTATGTTTCTGTTCATAAAGAACATTTGTGTTATTTCTCCAGTGCCAACTTCTATTGGGCGCTAGGACCATGCAAATCATGTTATTTTAAGATGGTAAGCAGTTGCATGTCTTCAGTTTTGCACTTTAATGTCAATAACTCCAGTCAATTTCAGTAACTACTACAGATACCTGTCCCAAGCTTAGTGTCATGGTAATCTAAACCCCCTTCCCCCTACAAAGACTCTTAAAACACTTTTTGAGCTACACGTTCAGCTCCCACATCCACTAAGTGAGAGTCTTGATTAAGACAAACACATGTGATTTCTGGTTTTAACAAATTCCCATCTTCAAGTGTTACAACAAAGTGACTAACTCCAGTATTGGGACTGACAGAAGACAACTGAGACTTTGTTAAATTTGTTGGTAAACTACAGTTGAGATCTGAAACAAAGTAACCAATCCAGTTCCTCATGTAGGCTCCATGACTCACGACTAATATATTGGCATCTAATATTTTAGAAGCTCCACCATTATTACAGCCAAGTTCTGCTTCACTGTAGTGGTCTGTCCAAGGGAAAACTAACTGTTCTTCAGATGGTCCTGAGCTTCTGCTTGCCGCACCATGGATGTCTTGTTCTTTCTGTTCCAATTCAACAGCTAGCCGACACAGAAATTCAAAAAAATCCCTTGCACGTTCTCTTACCTAAAGAGAAAGGTCAGGAGAGTACATTGTGAAGAATGCAAGGGATTTCGGCTTTCAGAAATCTGAGGTGTAACTACTTCAGTTAAAAGACAAACATTTATCACAGACAAGTCTCAGAAATCAATGGTAAGTTACTGAATGCTGTAAAAACTCCTCTGCCCTCCAAAGCCAAAGTTGAGAGTAATTGCCGTGGTCCTTCTGCAAACGAGAGCTTCATGACGAGTCAATCTCAAAATCAATCTTTTAGTTCTAAAGAGATTCCTACTTGGCAGTCACTGTAATCAGGTCAAGTAGTGTTTTTAGCTTAGAAAATAACTACCTTTGGTAGGGCTAAGCTCTCAATAAGATGTTCCTAAGTACGCAATAGCTGCATCTGCACTGATAAAACGGCCTAGAAAGCAGGGCACAAACAAATAAATACCATACTTCATCCAGTGTTTCTCCTCCAGAAGGCGTGAATGAAGGACACTGCTCTCCAGCAGCCTTTGCCATGGCCTTGAGGTCAGTCAAAGGCCTTCCTTCTGCAACACCATATTTCTGTAAGAGCCAAGTTACAAAGAACGGGTTTAGCAAGACGTATCAATGCAAACATCTCCTAACAGCTTTGCTTTCTTGGACTCTCAAGTGTAACGTGCAGGTTTAACTACCTTTTACATTTTACCCCAATGTTGGGGGAGGAGGTATCTTTACATATGCTATTTAAGTTAAAAAAAATATATAAAGTGTACATGCACATATACTGGGTAGAGAAATATATTAAGAGCAGCATCTCATTTAAAGTACTAACATTCAAAACACTACCTTCATCCTGATCTTTGCCTTGAGATTTTTTCCTACATTCTTGACACTCCTTCTTAGCATACAAAATTCAGGCGTCTCTGTAATGGAGGTGACATTGCAAACACCTCTGTATGTAGCTGTTCACAGGAGGATAAACTCCATTTACTCTTCATTTGCAGAAAGACTAACAGGGAATGATTTTTCACAAGTAAGAAACAAATATTTTCTCTACAGACCTCTGATATGCCCACAGAGGAGTCCATTTTAAAATCAGAATTTTTCAGACACACAAAAAGAAAGAGAGAGATGAAAACCTACAGGTACCCTACTTATTAAAAATAAACAATAAGGCCTTCCTCTCTTTTTCAGGACATACATTACTGTTGTGGACAGTGCTTTCAGAAAACAAGAAAGGCAAAAACAATCTTAAAAACGTATGTTAATAGACTCAGAGAACATGCAATTAACTATCTTCAATGACACACTTATTCCTGAGACCTCCAAATACAAGGCCGATAGGAGAAACAGCAGTAAGAACCCATATACACCCGCTGGTTATTCTGGATCACTAGAAGTCACATTGTAAAACAGAATTATTTATCACCCATAATGTATTTTACAAGATAGACATATGTGCATTACCATTGTTGACCATGAAGATCTTTCCAAGGCACATCTCTAACAATGGTAAAACAGATTAATACTTCTCCCTCTGAAGATCAACACTTCACTACTGCTAACAGATGAAAAATATATACAAGTGGAAAGCTTTGGTCTTTCCTTGGAATGTCCGAAGACAGTGAAAACACTGCAGTTATGATGAGTATTTTGAGAAAGTGAGAGCTGATGCTATACTGTCAAACACTCAGTCACAGACATTCCAGACATCCAGATGTTGATGACTAAGACACAGACGCATACTGAGGCTTTTTTGACTTCTCCGTCACTATCCACTTGCTGTGGACATTGCAATTAGATGCCATAACAATTAATTCATTACAGTCTTCAGGATTTAAATGTACTGAAACACCTTTACTTCAGTTTCTCAATCCCCTTCTCTAAAGCAAAATATTGGCAGTTTAAGAACACTAAGAAAGGTGTGATGAAATAAGTGCTCTGAAGCTGCTGAAAATGGAATCCTAATCTGAAATATTTTTCCAGACTTCTCTCATGAAAGCAAGGCAGGAGAGAACAAAATGTTCTTATTAGGGTCAATGACATATGTTCTTTTAAAGGACTCTGCTTCTTTTCGAGCAATCCAAACTTAATTCCAGTTATCCAGAGTAGTGACATACAACCTGTGGCCTGCAGACACTGTACTGGCACTTCTATACATCCACACAAATGCCATGAAAGGAGGAAGAAAGTGTAACAGAAAGTTAAGATTATTCTTCTTAAAAGTTTGTATTACGAACTGTAATATTTTCGAAAACGTCAGGTGGTAAAGCAACTAAAGAAGTTTGAGAGGCATTTAACTTGCTGATTTCAGGAGAACTGAAATTTCTGACAGAAAAAAGAAGATCCAAATAGGAAACGCTACAATCACATTCTGCTCCTTAAACACTTATTTGCATGCTGGCAATATGCCACCCCGCTCTTGGTTTTGTAGCATTTCCTTGTTTAGAATTCAGCTGACACTCTCAGTGTAGCATCTGAAGGGTGATTCATATTAGCAGAAACAGCCAGCATCTGAGTTTATTCTGATCAAGACATCCTTAAAAAACAGACAGGAGGTACAATTATGCCTGTTATCAGGCAGAGAGGCTAATCAGGAAAGCAGACTCTTCCATGGACAGCAGTCTTTGTGCAAATGAAACGGTATAAACAGCCAAACAGCCAACATCAAGTTGTGTCAGCAGGCCAGAGAAGGTAGGCAGAGGAAGTATCTTTAACACGTTCCATAGGGGGTTAGAAAACAAGAGCTAAGCTTTTTATTACATTTCAGATAACTCCCTCTACATGTAAATCTTACCTTACTTAAATCATTAAAGCATCAGTTACAGCACTAATCATTAAATTTTGGCTTTGCTTCACCATTCTTCAAACAATTTACAGTACCTGATGTGAAGAGTTCAGTTTTCAGTGATGAAAATGACATGAAATAGTGCTCTCCACTGTTAACTCTACTATTTAATAAGCCAAGATATCCTTCAGCAGTAAGTTACATTTTCAAATTGTTCAATGCTCAATATTAAAACAAACTCTTTTGACACTTACTCTCTCTCGAAGTCTTGCATCATACTTGATTTCCAAATCTTTGCAAAATTTATTTTTTCCTAGAATTGTGGCAGCAGTCTAAAAAGTGAATATACAGTCACATCAATGAACTGTTTTCTCATGGGATAGCCACACCATCTTACACCACCGCAGCCAATGTGAATCACATTAGTAGTACCCAACAACCCAAACAAGATAAAAAGTTTTTCAGCTAGTAGTCTCTGTCAGAATTGGATATATGGCCCATGTCAGGCCACAAAAGGCAGAAAAGCTGCAATCTTCTGCAAGTTCTTTCAAAATTCACAGTCCAGAACAGTTCAAGACACTTAGCACCCAGGAAAGGGGGGCAGCAAGATGCACGGCAGCAGCAGGATTTACTGGGATAAAAGCCACATCTTCTCTTGAGTATACTGCCACTGACAAAGCTATCATGCCGACACATTCTTTACATGTAGTACATGGGTCAGACTCACAAGCAGTACGTTCCTAAAAACCAATCAGTTAATCTGACTGCGAAAAACGTAGCACCTAACAGATTAAATTACTTTCTAGTAAGTGGCTATTTAATGCACCTCAGAAATCAAATACTCTTGAAGCAGTTAAGAGGCAGGAGGATGTTTGCTGGCAACATATTGAAGTGTCAGCCTCAATGTTACGAGGGAGAAATGCACTGGATGATACACTTGGGGAAAAAAAAAAAATCATCTAGCTTATTGTATTGTCTTTTGATAGCATGGCCAAGAGACAGAGAAAACCCACAGAGTTTAGTTTGCTTTTAACAATAGTCTGGATGTCTTGAGTTTTGTGCTATACATCTTTTTTTTTTTCAAGGAAGTATGTGATTTTGGGGGTGCAGGAGGGCAAGACAACTGATCAAGAGGAAATTCTGATACCACTCTGGAAAAAGTATTGCCTAACAGAGGCTCTAGCGTGTTGGATATTATACACCTGTCTGGTTGCCACAGCCAATAATGGGAATGAAAGGACAGCTAACCTCCTCCTGTTCTTACAAGCACTGAGGTGCAAAGGCTGTACTGGATTTGCATACAGTTTTGACTGGTACTATTAGCTGGAAGTCTTGTGCAAATCACAGAATCACAGAATCGATGAGGTTGGAAGAGACCTCTGGGATCATTGAGTCCAACCTTTGCCCTAACACCACCGTGTCAATTAGACCACAGCACTAAGTGCCATGTCCAGTCTCTTCTTAAACACCTCCAGGGATGGTGACTCCACCACCTCCCTGGGCAGCCCATTCCAATGCCTAAATATCCACATCCAATTGAACTGACATTCAAAGAACTCATTTTGAAAAGGCTCTTTGGATTCTGGCAAATAATAAGCAGACTCATTGTATTAACAAGATTTTATAACTCATTTAATGTATTGTTTAGGAAAAGCTTTATGTTGCAACTTTAAATTTCTGTCACAGAATAATGTCAAAATTCAGATAGGGTTGAATCAACTTCCTTGTATATATGAACAGCATAGTTAATTGTATGATCAGAGAAGGGCAACAAGGCTGGTGAAGGGCCTGGAGAAAAAGCCTTACGAGGAGCGGCTGAGGGAGCTGGGGTTGTTTAGTCTGGAGAAGAGGAGGCTGAGGGGAGACCTGATTGCCCTCTACAACTATGTGAAAGGAGGTTGTAGCGAGGTGGGGATTGGGCTCTTCTCCCCGGTAACTAGCGATAGGACGAGAGGAAATGGTCTCAAGTTGCGCCAGGGGAGGTTCAGGCTTGACATTAGAAAGAACTTCTTCACTGTTAGAGTTGTCAGGCATTGGAACAGGCACCCCAGGGAGGTGGTGGAGTCATCGTCCCTGGAGATGTTCAAAAAATGTTTAGATGTGGCACTTCAAGACATGGTTTAGGGGACAGGGTGGCATCAGGTATACGGTTGGACTTGATGATCTTTGAGGTCTCTTCCAACCATAATGATTCTATGATTCTATGATCATATCCTGCAATTTCTCCTGGACTGAGATCTCATTCAGTACACAGAATAGACAACGTTCACCTACTGAGCACTAATTCACACTCTGAACTGTAAATATTAAACATCAAGTCTCATTTACTGTGCTGAAACCAAAATATGCTCTGAGAAAGAGATTAACTTCCTCACACCTTTCCTACACTATCCATTACTAGAATACCAGCATATTTTACAAACGTTACTGAATCTTCACGGTACCACAGTGAGAGAAGGGATATCAGCCCCATTTTATATATGGAAAAGACTCACAGATTTTCTCTCATTCCTCTCAGGGCCCAGCCTGTCCCAGTCCTGAACTGGAAGTCCTTCACTACTGCAGAATTCTTGTCCCAACAGCACGAGCATCTCCCAGTAGGCCCCATGTTCCCCTGTAGACTCTGGTGTTATGCTCTGTTAAGCTTACAAGTCTTATGGAGTTATGCTGTTCACACCACATCCCAGTCTGCCCAATTAATTTTCATATCGCAGGCCTGCCTGCTCTCTTCTACCCTGCTAATTTCTGGTGCCAGTCTTTGATCCTCCCTCCTAGGCTTATTCTCTCAAATAGGCTTTCTGGCAAAGCCTCTCTCTGCATTTCCTATACCTGCTCGCTTTGCATCCCCTGTAGCTCTCGGAATTCCTGTCTGGCTGGTACAGCTCTCTTTGAACACATCCGTTTTCTCCTACCCTGTTTAGGCTTGAACGTCCAGCTGTCAGCCACGGGCAGTAGCCAGAGCACTGCATATCACTCCTGGTTCCAGTAACCAGTACACACCCTGACTACAGCTGAGGCAGGAGATGCTGCAAGAAAAAAACCAAACTTTACCACTAATCGTTTCTTTAAAAAACATTTTTTCCTCTTTTGCAAGGGAACTTGCACATTCCTCTCATAGTTGAACTATAAAGTGACAGCATAGTAAAGGACACTTCTTCATAGATTTGCAGCTACCAAAAAAAAGGGAGTTCCAAGCAAATGGAACTGCAGCTTTACACATCTTTGGAAAAGCTTCCACAAAGTCTGGATAGCTTGTCAAACAAATGGCAAAACGCATTTCCTTCATGCGAAGGACAAATTCTGGTCTGTCCTCTACATTATGAGAGTGCAAATGCTTCTCATGGAAAGGGCTGTCTCTAATATCGAGGAAAAAAATTAGCAACCTTGCTCTGAAGTGGCTGAGCATTCAAAAACAATTCCCCTAAGGCAGGCACATAGTGCAGACAGTCTAACGAACGTTATAAAGCACTATTAATGTTTTTAAATATAATCACTGCCATTCACACACTTAAAGGAAGTGACTTGTCAGGTAGTTATTATGCATTTTTAAAATATCTAATTATTGCACTCCTCCCCCCATCTCTTTAGTTTCTTTTCTGCCTAAGTTGTGCTGCTACAGCAGTTTTATAGGACCATGCTGCAAAATCAGTGAGCAATGATGATGATGTATGTTTTAAGAAAAACAAGGGGTTTTATGCTAGATTTTGTTAATCTGGTTTACAGTAAGGCTTCAGACTTTCATAGGAGGAAAACAGAGCAAAAAGCAAGCAACCAGCAGGGCTATCAAGAACTGCTTAGTAGTTTCAATCACGTGACGCCTACATGTCTCCTGAAATCACAGCATCAGCAGCAGAAGAGAGAGTTAAGGACAGGGCTTCCACAGGAGACATGACCCTCCTCAATCTATGCCTCTACCTTTAAAAGTTCTGTTTCCCTAATTTTTTGATTATTTTGTAATCTTGCACACAAAATCATAGGTAAATCTGTTCAGTAATTAGTATTTTTTCCTCTTTAATGAACCTATTAAAATCGTGCATCAAGGTGAGAGGTGTGGTACTATGTTTCTGCCAAATTCCAACCTCTCTGCACACTTAATGATCCCCATACTGACTTTACAGCAAAACTTGATCTTGCCTATATTGGCCTGCGTTCCTCAGAAACACACAGCATACAGCCGCAATGCATAAGACAGTACAACAATATCACAGCCAATTCATTTTGTTTCTTCAAAGAAAAACTGACTTCAGCCTGTGCTACCTCCAAGTCCCAATTACTCTTTTAGTGAGAACACACATGCACATACAAAATAATGGCAAATCCATAAGAGCAACACGGCCTGACATCATACAAAGCAAGTTGGTCTTCATCGATTCCTAACTGAGCTGTTCTCATTGAAATTTCCATACTCATAGAGGCCTTCTTGAATTCTACACAACACAAACTGTAGTTCTAAGTCCATCAAAACAGCTTTTGGCTCTCCGTCACTGTACTATTTTTGCATCATCAATAGCAAATAAATGTCAAATGCTGAAGCTAGTATTCAGTTGCCTCAAGAAGCACTTGCCTGCTTTGCTCGAAGGAGGTCACTTGAAAAGACATGAGTAAACTTCACATTACTGAGAAATAAACCCGCAGCATCTGCTTGTCTGAAACCGGTTGCAGAGAGCGGCTCATCCACGCCTTGACCTACAAAATAAAAACCCATCTACGTTAAGACACGCAAATTTTAGATCATTTAGCAACTGAGCACGCACGGCAGCAATAAAGAATCTACTCAGTCATAACAAAACGCTTTTTACTTCAGTAGAGCCAACCGGTAGGCTTCCTCCAAGAGGCATCTCACAACTGAAACTCTATAAACAGATTTGTTGATTGTAAATAAGTAAAAGGACAATGCAATGGAGATAAAGTTGTTGATACTAAAATACACATACGGAGAAACCATGCACATCAAGAGAGACAAGTCCTGACAAATACGGTATGTCTGCTCCTCCTCCTTCCCTAATGTTGACAATGCCTTGAAGAAATGAGGTAACACGCAGAGATTCTGTGTAATGCGGAAAGCAGCACACAATCTTTGCCAAAGACAGAGTTTCACAAGAATTTTACGGTTGATGTAAACGCAATCTGTTGTGATCTCTTCCTCTTCCTTACTCCACCTCACACATTGACACTAATGCTCATACAGCTGCACAGAGAGCATGTTGATGGAACAAACATAGCTGAAAAGCAGCAAACCTTCCAAAAATTGTTCTCGGCCAGAGCAGTCTGTGAAACTAGCTGGTGACAAAGTTTGAGGACAGCGTTGAGAGAAGCAGTACTTAGGTGAATGCAATAGCTGCGCTCCCGTCACAGCTCAGAGAGTCTCTGGTAGAACCAAGAACTGTGGCAGAGGGGCAAACCCGTAACAAATTGCTATGTCCACGCTTGTATTTTACTTTTGCAGGAAGTCAAAGCAGAGAGTGTGCAATTCTCATCAAATCCAGAACAACCACCAAAACAATTTTCACCAAGCAAGTGCACAATCATTTATATGCTTCCCATAGCAAAACACAGGACACCAGGAAGTCCAGAACTGGAGTTCCGAGCACCTCGTCTGTGATTCAGCCATGTGAGACCTGGGACCCCACCATGCTGGTCTAGGTCTTACACCCCGTCGAAACACAAGGCCATGTTTACTTTCTACACTGGAGAGGAAAGAGGAACCTACTAGATCTCATTTGACACAGAGGGCTAGAAATTTAAGACATCATTCATACTTTTAAGAAGAAAAAGCAGGGAAATATTTTTTATTCACTTTATTATGAGCACAAAGCCATGCTGCAAGAACTATAAACTGTAATGTCAAAACAGAGGTAGGAAAATTGGGAAGCACGATTCTTCCTCACAGCATTGTGGAAAGTTTATTTACTCAGAGTACAATCCCACTAGGCTCCTTGTAGCGGTGAGCCTCGGTTTTCCTGCAACAGACAGCCAAGCAGCTCAGCATTTTCAGCTCTGGGTGTACGTGTCAGCAGTCACTAAGGAGAAGTTTGGTTTTAAATGTTGTGTCTAAAGACTGCCTTCCTAGAAAGCTCCTGGTTGGTTCTTCACCAGAGCTGCAGCTCTCACTTCTCACCCGAGCCCCAGAAGCCCTTTTCCCAGCCTTCATACGACTGAGATCTAACACAACGCAACAGGACACTCTGGCACCCTTATTCGCAGATACTGCTGTGATTACAGGTAACTTTGGGTTTTTTCCTCTGTTTAGAAAAAGGAACTATTCTAATACTCCTGTTGATATGAGAAATGCATCACCATTTGTTGCTATTCTGTGGAGACCAACTTAGACTCTTCATAGCTCTGTAAAACTATCAAGCTAATGTCCTGGCTTACAAATAAAGTCTCTTAAGGGTTACAATATTATTCCGTAATAACATTTCAGCAGCCGGTGGAAGGATTTCACATTTTGCAGGGAAGAATACTTTTCCACCTCTAACAAGCTAGCAGAATAACTGATACTAACCTTGCAGTATCTTGTCTTTGTTGTATCTTGTTTCTCCACTGAAAAGAGATTATAAACAAAAATAATTAACTCACAATGATTTTAGTGAATGTTCAAAACCATTATTATATTAGATACCAACAGCAGACAGCAGAGCCTGAATATGAAAAACGAGATACAGTACAGCACAGCCTCTTTTCAAAAAGACGTATCTGAAGATTTTACAACAACAACAAAAATACCATTTTCAAGTAGTCAACTCCAATCATGCCATCAATATTTACCAAGAGAAATCTACCTGGAATAAAAGGAAGAAATTTCTTAAATTCATTGTAAATGCAGCATAATTTATCTATTATAATTACACCCCTGTGCTAGAGAGAGGGAAGCTGCAGGAAGATTCTAGAGCCCTCTTCTGAAAAGGACGTGCTAGCCAACTGGACCTCTGCACTTTAAAGGAAGCCAATTCAAGAGATTATCAAAGACAGCAGCAGAGCAGGCTGCACACCTTGAAGAAACAGAGCGTAAGAAGCCAGAATTGTAGAAAAACTACTAGAATGAACATCACCTTCTTTAGGAGTCAGCATATTCTACCTCGAAAACCATACCTGACGGCATTTCAAGAGAAGAGCAACTAAAACCATGTGCAGGTTTATTTAGGAGGGAAAAATCTACCTGAACTTGACACGAACAAAGTTAAGCATGCTGACTTCGTTGAGACTCCTCACCTGACTGAAATGTCATGTGCTTAAGTTTTTGCAGTACTAAGGCCAAGTGTGCTGCTTGGTTTTCATACAGAGAAAATATACTGCTGTGTGGAAGTCCTCAAGACGAGCCAACTGATCACAGAAGGCCAGTTACTTTTAAGATAAAACATTGTATTTTAGTACGCTTTAAACTCTTTCCTGCACAGGGCGGACAGCAATTTAATTCTTCGGGCTCACTCCATGCCCTGACAGCTATTTCCAGCCTCCTGAGGAAAATGCAGCAGGCTGGATGGAGTCTGTCCTGCTGGCCATCAGCTGGAGGTGGGGGAAGACCGGAATGTGCAGTTTTCCAAGCAGCACTAAGATAGCACAGCGTACGCAAGCACAGTCGGGTGGATGAACTCCCATCCATTTGCTGGTGAATGAACTGGGATCTTTCTGAAGTGTCTGCGAGAGTCCCAGCTGAAGATGTCACGTTCAACAAATTATTTCAGGCTCACACGTTTTCCAGTTGATGTAAAAGTTAGGCATAAACTACAGCACCAAGTCAGCAGTTCCAGGCCTTTAAGGGAAGTCAAGAGTAACTCTTAACAGGAGGAAAATCAGAAAAAAAAAAAAAAAAGTCATCGCTCCAGTTGCACTGATCAAGTATTAAACTCTAAAGGAGAAAAAAAAGTTTAAAAAGTTTAGCTGTCATAAAAATTAAGCAGTTAACTGCTGTCAATTGCAGGAAGCTGGAGCTACTGATGTCTGGTTACCTACGCACAGATCTTTGTCAATATCCACTGCAGCTCGAAAGACAAACTCACCCTAACAGTTCTCACTAAGTCACAGACGGCAATTCTTTAACGTTTCACGGCGTTAGGTTACTACTCCTAAACGGGCTCTTTGCCCTCCCAGAGAGCTGTCGGCAGGAGAAAGGTCTTAGGAGCAGTCACCTGGGAGCCCACAAAGAGCGCTCACCAACGTTACGTGTAACCCC